AAAAGATTTGTTAATGTCCAGGGTGACTCTGGCTTAACATCCACCCAAATAATTCTTAAATGAAAACAGCAGGATTGATACCTCTTCACGCCCAGGAATGTGAGTTCATTTCTAGAACCAGCCCACTGATCAAGTAACCCAAAACACAATCAACAGTTCTTCCCAGAGTCCTCAGGCTAGAATTGTGGGGGCTGTTTGAAAAGAATCCCTGTTCTTCCTCCCACTTTCAAAGCCATTGTTTCTGGACACAGACCAACATGGACATCAGTGATTTCAAATGTTAGTGACCTAACCCTGTAGGCTTGATTGAAGTTGGCTTGATTAAATCCCTGTAGGCTTGATTAAAACCCTGTAGGCTTGATTGAAGTTGGCTTGATTAAATGGACACTGTGGCTGTCTGGTTGGTGTTTATTCCACTATTCTAAGTTACTGCTACTACCATAAGCCCAGGGAAGTTGACCCTAACTACAGTGGTCAACCATCAATCCTTTAATTAAAGAATGCAGTATTTTGGAGGGGGAGGAGGGGAACTAGGAGCCAGTGGAGCTAGAATCAAATTGAAGGGAATAACCACATGCGGGAACTTTGGCTCCCTCATTCCTATGATTTCTTCTCCGTCTGAGGCATCACAAATAGGCTCTACTGAGGACGTGGGAGAATGGAGACCACACGCTTTGCAATCAGAGGAAAGTAGACGTGAATTCTGACCACACCACTTACTAGACGCTTTGGTCCTCAATTTCTGTAAGTATAATGAGAACATTAAGTTATTCTGTTTATGGGAAATGATTAAGGTGGTGCTTTCGGCAGGACTTGCACACCACTGTGTGTTAACTGTGTGTATCACTGTCGAGACGAGATGGGGCTGGGCTTCTGGGGCAGTGGAAGGACAGGAGCGGTTGTATGGATTCTGAGACAGCCTGGTTTGATGAGTCCTGGTATCACCATTTTGGAGCAGGAAAGACTAGGAAAGATCGGGTCCAAACGCCTCACTTTACAGAGTAAATTTTCTTTTTTTTTTGTTTAATTACTGAGCTGGCCCAGCTCTTAACAACTGTCTTCTTCCTTAAGAATAAATTATTAAATGTGATGTTCTGTGAAACAGTGCTCTGGCATTCGCCATAAAATTTAACAGGAAGACTCATTTTGTTCGTGTGGGGAGCAGAGAAGTAATGCTCTGTTTCTAGCCGGGGCTCATGTGCTTCTTGTGTTTATATAGTCAAAGGTCAAACGCTGACTAAGAGCAGATAGGCCTTTTCCTTTTGCATCACTTTTCCACTTTCAAAAGACTTAAAATAAACTATCATTTTCCATTATTTACTTAAGGGGCTTATTTTGCAGAACTTGTAGCTCTTGGGAACCCCCCAGTCGTTCTTACAAAGTACACAATCTGATTCTTACTCATCTACGAACGTGAAGGAAAGCAAGGGTCAACACGCATGGTGTAAATCACCCAGAACACAGTAAGAAGGTGAACTGGCTGGTGAGGTTGGTGACTTTCCACAAATATCTTACACGTATAGAACCAGAAAACCATTCTTCCTTGAAATAGAGGAACTGATAGAGATAGGGAGAGAAATAGAGACAGAGGAGACGGAGGGGTGGGGGAGAGAGATAGCGAGAGCGAGAGAGAGAGAGAGAGAGAGAGAGAGAGAGAGAGAGGATGTAGATCAGTTCTGAGACCAAGGATTAATTCCTCTGAATAAAAAGAACTTCCTTTTTTAAATCAGCATTTCATCTGAGGTACACAATGGCACATTCTTAAAACCCACTGCAATCCTAGATGGCCAAGGGCTCACAAAAAATGTATAGCTCACATTGTGCAGAGAAGGGTTTGCACGCATTTTCACATGGATTCACTCTCTGCTAAACTCCAGCTCAACATCTGTGTGAGATTCTACACCTCCGAGCACGCGCAGCACCGCAGTCCTTAAGGGCTAGCGAACCTCTCCAGATGAACCGAGACCCTAAACGCTACCTGCCCAGGGGCCGTGCTGTGAAGAGCCCCCCGATGGTAGTAACAAGTGCAGTTCTACTGGATACTGCTTCTGTTGGTCCACATTATAAGCCTTCTCAGGTGAGAATCTTCAAAGGGTACTGAAAACTGAAGACACCAGACCCAAGATGGGCACCACCTTGTCGACAGTCAGTCAAATGTTTGTTTAGATTGCTGCAGCAGTTAACTTCGTCTTCGCGTGACTACCTTCTAAATTGGCATCATATTTTGTTAAATGTGTAACCTGGGTGGGAAAAGTCTTTAAAGGGACACATTTTGTTACTAAGACAGGTCACAGTCCATTCAGTGTTTGCCAAGCTCCTTTCGCCTGCCAGGGAAGGGCAATAGGTGTGGAAGATGTCAAGATTAAGGACACAGTCCCACCTTCGGGGAGCTCATCTTCTAGCTCATAGCACGTGAGTGGATTCTAGGTGGATTTGCCCACTGAACAGAATGGAATGTCTGAGCCCAAACTCTCCTTTTATATGGCCTGCTCCCTTTGAAATCCAATGTCCTTTTGCTGTGATGCAATTTTGCAACTTGTTCTGTTGTTTTAGGAATAATAAGCATGCAAAATAACAAACATCACTGTGCACCTACTATAACCATGTAAGACAGCCCCCAATTATCCCCACTTTCTTGTATTCATGGCCTTAAATAATCTCCTCCTCCTAAGTGTGGTGTGGACCTAGTGATTTGCTCCTAACTGACAGAGTAGGGCAAGGTGATGGACATCACTTCTGTGATTAGTTTAGGGAAGACTGACGTCTGTCTCTATTGCCTTGACTCATATGCTTTGGAGATGCAAACTGCTCTATTGGAGAGGCCCACCTGGCGAGGAACTGAGGGAGGCCTCCAGCCCACAGCAATCCAGGAACCAAGGCCCTCACTTTAGCAGTACATGGAGAACTTAATTCTACCAACGACCCTGTGAATTTGGAAGCAGATCCTTCCCCAGTCAAGCCTTCAGATGAGACCTGAACCTTGGCTGACATCTCAATTTCAGCTTGTGAAAGACTCTGAGAAGGAAGGCCCAGGCCAGCTGTGCCCAGATTGCTGATTTGTGGAAACTGAGATAATAAATGTATCTTGGTTTAAGCTAGTGGTTTTAGGGTAATTTGTTATGCAGCAATAGATAACTCATATGGAAATTATCCTTGTTCTTAAGGAGTTGGCAGTATAGAGGGTGCCAGACTGAAAACTAACTATAGCACAATGTTAAAAGATGTGCCATCCTCAGTAACTCGGCAAGAGGTTTAAATCAGGGACTCAATTCTGTGATTTAGGTATTTCAGTTCTAGTCTCAAGCTAACCTGATTTCTGTTCTTACAGACTTTCCAGCTGGAAAGGCTCTTATGCAACCCCACCCTTTAGTCGGTCCTCTGTACTCCACCTGAAAAGAAGAATGATGATTTGAGTTGTAACTGCCAAACCTGATGACATGTTCGTTGAGGGCAGGAAGAGTATGTTACACTTAGCACTCTTTCAAGCACCTAGTTCCTGCCCTTTCATGTGAGGGCAGGGCTCACAAAATACGAGTGATGAACTATATTCTCAGTTGGTGAAAGAGTGAAAAACACACAAAAGACGGAGTTTCCTGAAAGGCCTAGTTCACGTGCTGAGACGGGGGCGGGGCTGCCACAGCCGTCCTGCACAGGGCTCTGGTGCACAGGTCACGAGCCAAACGTAAGAAGCCTTGCTAGACTTCCACAGGTGGCACTGATTGGGACACTATGTGCTTCCTCCAGAAGGTTTCCAGAATCACGAAAACAGCAGCTTTGAGTGTTATTTCTACTGACTACAGCAGATGCTGCCTGTGTTCTGATTATAACCCAGAGGTTATACCAGCACAGTATATTCCAGAACAATCTCACTGCAAGCACCCACCACTCTCCAGGTGAGGCCTTCAGCCACAAGGGCAGTGCAGTCAGCAGCCAGTGACCACGTGACTGGGAGGAAGCCTCCCCAAGCTTCCTCAGCCTCCTTCTGTGGAATGACCCTGAGCTGGGTTAGATGCTGTCACCTGGAGTTCCCCAGTGGCACTGAACACCGGGTACTCCCAGGGGCAACTCACTCAATAACACTTCCGCGGGTCACCCCTCAAATCAACTGCTTAGACTCAAAGTTGGCTTCTGGGGAAACCCAACTTACCGCCCCAGTGAACCAATGAACAAATACAGGACACTTAGGTCAAAGTCTTGTTGGGTTAGTCCCACCGAAGCTGTCTTGCTCGAGCACCTCAAGACCTAGACACAGCTCGGTGGATAGGGATCCAGGGAAGAGGGCTGGCAGGGCAGGCCTTCTCAGTTGACTCGCTCCCCACGCGGGGTGAACGTGGGGACTCAGATCCAGCTGCTGGTGCTGAGAGAAAATGAGGTTCCAGGGCTGTAGCCACAGGGGTGGCCCCACGAGGCTGCCATCTGTCGCGGCTGGCCCAGCCCCCGGCCAGACTGGAGGGCACAATGGGGACCAGCTCAGGCTGGGTTTTTTTTGTGCGGGGAAGGTAATTAGGTTCATTTTATCTATTTATTTTAATGGAGGCACTGGGGATGGAACCCAGGACCTGGAGCATGCTGAGCACTTGCTCTACCACTGAGCTACACCCTCCCCCCTCCCCGAGTTCATGTTGTGTTGGGACGTCCAGGTAGCGGCAGAGATGGGGGGGCACTGCCAGCAGGGAGCGGGACTTGGACACTGAGTCAGGAGGAGCTGCTGGAACACAGCAGCCCCAGTCTTAGAGGGACCCCGCTGCTGACATGGACTCAGGCCACGGGGCAGAAAGGAAGTGAGGCCCGGACCAGGGGCCTGCGGGCCGGGATGAAGGGTGTGGGCTCTGGAGTCCGAGACTCTGGTTTGGGTCTAGCCCCTAGCCTTCCGGAAGGGGGCTTGTGCAGCCTCGCTGAGCTGTCTCCTCCTCAGTAGGATGAAGATGGCGGTTGCGCCCCCGCAAAGCTGTGGAAGGGTTTTATCAGCCGAATGGAACGTGGGAGGATGAGGTAAGTGTGTCGCCTCTCCGCCCGAGTAAGTGGGGCAGCCCTGAGGGGCCTCTGGAAACAGAACGGGCTTTGAACAAAGGAGGGAGGTAAGGGAGTTCTCGGAAGCGCGAACGCTGGAGGAGCCCCACCCCATCCTTTCTCAGTCGCGCTGCTGC